ACAAACTGAAATGAAATGCAGAGTGAGCTGACACTGTATTTAGGTATTTTCATCAAACCAGATTCATCAATTTATTTTATGGAACGCTTGGGGTCTCTTATTGACTAAATCTTATTATGTAAACAGAAACGCCTCATTGATTGTCAACAAAGGCCAGAGCTGAAACATGCCTGCATTTCATTTGGTCGGGTCACTGCTCAGTGGGGATCTGATAGAGCTGTCTACAAGGATCTCAGCAGAGTGTACACAAACGTCTTAACAAAGCCATTCAGTGGCCTTTCAGTGGTGAAAGGCCTCATTGTGTGAAGAGTTTACAGTGAATACAGTGTAGTCCCGCTGTTAGTGAAAACCCAGTTGATTTTAATTCCACTTTTTTACTCTTGAAATTTGTGAGTCTCAAGGATTAAGTTTGAATGAATTATAGACATAAGAAAATATGTGTTTAGTATTATAGCACATGCTGTTTCTTCAATAAGCTAGACATCTTTTGTTGTGAACATGTTCCTTGCTTGTTTTATAATCAATTTTTAAAACTGAATTTACACACAGATTGTGTATTGATTATCCTTTTTTCCTTCAGTTTGAACTATCAAAGCAATTTCATTAAAGGTCAGATCTTGCTTCTTTCTGTCAAAATTAGAACAGAAGATATTTTAATTCAAATAACTAATATGGGATTGTCTTGAGTATGTGCATATATTAGTTGGAGTTTATGACTTTATGGCAGTTTTTTACTAGGTCAAATAAACTTGAAGAGTTTCTCTAATGAAAGAAATCATGTCTTTATCAGAATCAGGCTTGATCAATAGATCAAGTAACAGCTGTGTCTGAAGTGAAACATCAAACAAAATAGTTACCAAACCGAATTCAAAATACATTAAGCTTTTCTCTTCAAGTTCATCCAACCGGTCAACGGTACAGTATGTCCCCCACTTCCTGTCTAATTATGAGGTATACTTTTCATTGTATTTCTTTAAAAGATTGCTGATTGTTAATATACAGTTTTTGAGTGATGTGGCAAATAAGGGTTGATATTGACTTGGTTGCTCCTCTCATCCAGTAATCTTGTTAATGTAGATATTTATGAGGCGTGATGGCTCAGTGATAGAACAGTGGTCTCATAACCAGTCGATCCGCTAGTGCCCTTTGGTAAGACATTGAAATCCTCATTACCAAGTCCCTCAGAGATAACTCAAAGCCGTTGGTCCCCTGGTAGCTTACCGTATTTGCCGGCGTAAAGGCCGCAGTATTTTTGGAAGAGAAAATATCAAAAAGTCGGGGTGCGGCCTTTACGGCGAAACAGAAAAAAAAAAAAAAAAAAAGTCAAAACCAGCACAAATTTGTACATATGGGACTAGATCTACGAACGGTACAATAACTATACATTTCCACACATCTTACCGACAATTTTATCTTGCATTGTTGACATGAAGACGAAAATAAACTTCCAAAAACAACATCTGCCGATAGATTTTGATCCAAGTTTGTGCCAATGCATTGCAAAAGTAAAAGAAGTGCCCGTTTAATGGAGCTGCTGCGAAGCATCCAGCACGCGAAGTCGTCATTTTCAATCCATTTCAATGACTACATCACAGAAAACAGCAGTGTATGGTATCAGCGCGGGATGGCCGCGCGGTTTAAGGTGGTGATTTTAGTCACATCAACATTTGTACGCAAGAGATCGAATCCCGACTTTGGCAAAAGATTTTTTTTTCTTCTTTTTTTTTTTTTTTTAAAATGTCAAAATCAGGGGTGCGGCCTATACGGCGCTGCGGCCTTATCGCCGGCAAATACGGTACTTACAAGCATACACATGCTTTTTTAACAGTCGGGTTAATCAAACAAACACATAAACAATTTAGAACAATTAGAGTCTTGTAACCAAAGAGTAAAATTGAATATTAAGTTATACATAATTTGTTAAGAGTTTTTTTTACAAGGTAACATGTATGCTTACATATATATGCCTTGGTTATGTAATGGCCTTCTTAAATACATGCATGTTTATAGGCCTGTACATGTACCTATTTTTACCTGACTTGCGTATATATAAAAAGTAAATATGTGAATGTTTGTAAATAAGCAACCAGTGGACTTACACATGTACCTTCAAGTATGCTTCTCTTCAATTCATACACACAAGTTATTTTGACCTCTAAGAGCATGTACAATGTACATGTTCTATACCTGAATTTGAAGAAAAAAATCACTTGAAAACAAAACGAAACAAAACATTCATTGAAAAAAATCTATAAGGACTAAAACATGTATATTGAGAAGCATTATAAATATTATTGTCAAAGGATGCAAATTTACAATAGGCATGTATGGAAATTTAGGCTTTTGTTATATTTAAACATTTCATTGTACTGGCTTTATGTACATGTAAATCATGATCTTCAGTATACCGGTAATCCTACATGTACATGTGCATTAGTGTGTTCACATTTTGAACTCGTCCTACATTTTGAACTCATTTGATGTGAGTAGGTCTCCATATTTGTAGCCTCACACATCTACAGTACTGTGTACCTAGAGATATACATGTAGGCAGATACAGCATTCTGGCAGGGAAGCCCTTTTCATTACTCATCCGGGATGAAAGAGGCTAGAAATTAATATTCCAGGAAATGAAAAGTGTTGTGGTGAAGATTTCACTCAATGTCCTTGTATTTGGACTGCACAAATGTAATTACACCTGCTTGGTGTACAAATGTATGTTTTTTTTCCCCCATACACTGTAGTACCCTAAATTCCCTCATATACATGTATGCATATATGTATTCACTGACATACATGTACATGTATTATTTACATGTATATTCTTGTCAGGTTTAAAGGGAAATTACTTCAGTTTTTGTTTGAAAAAAAAGGGGGAGATTTCATTCATTTCAATGTGTACACATTCAGGCTGCGATGTGTACACGGATGTTTCATGTATGGTACTCATCCGTACGACAACTACATGTGTGCTATTTCACTTTAACTCAAGTACACACAGTGACTTGTGAATGAGAAAAGGGATATGAATATTAGTCTTTACCTACATGTACATGTACAAAGTTTACAAACATACTTGAAGTTGAAGCAAGACACACTAAGCTTTCTTAAAATAATTTTAACAACTTAAAATCTTGATAGCGATGTGCTTCTTCCCCTACTTCAGCTCGAGGTCAACACTAGATAGGGGTACGCAAAAGTTGTAAGGGCAAACGCAAGCCAATGACAAGCCAGAGAAATGGTGTAGATCGCAAGTGCTGCAGCGCGCGCATGTACTAGCTGTGTATACAACCTGTGCATGTTTCCCGCGAGCATGCGCGCCTCGGTGTAGAGAGAGTGCATGCATGCATGGACCTACTACGAATTGATGCATTCCAGCTGCAGAGCTGGAGCTATATATAGCGCACACAGTACAGCGCAACTACCGTAAATCTCTGTGTATAAGGCGCACCCCTATTTTGGGGAGGGGGGGGGGGAAATGTTTGTTTTTGTTGTTTTGTTGCCGAAAACCCACGCGGGGAAGGACCTTCATTTAACATCGAGGTGCAGTTAAAGGCGCTGATTTGTGCTCGTAAACTTTTCACAAATAATAGTAACAATGTTGTTTTTAGAAGAATGTGTAAGATCATTAATGTAAATTAAAAACAATAGAGTACCTACAGTGTAGGTCCTAGGATAGAACCTTGTGGTACACCATTTGTTAAAGAAAAACATTTGAGGAATTATTATTATAAACTACATATTGAGATCTATTAGAAAGATTACTTTCAAACCAAGACGACAGACAATTTTAGTGTTGATCTAGTTTCAGAGTGGTGAGTCAACACACTGATTACTGAGCTGGGAGACATTCTTTTTGGCGGCAAAAAAGTGCGCCTTATACAGTACACAGAGATTTACTGTACATCATAACTTCGTACAGGGTCCCTGTATTTGATACGTAAGGGCAGCTCCCTTCTGAACATATAGCAGACGATAAAATACATGATGACATAGGTTACAATGAAGGGTGATTGAAAGGGTGTGATGATACAAAACATGACCGTGTACAAGTACATGTGGATGTCTGACCGTATGTCCGGATATGTACATGTACACAACTACCAAAATACGCACTTATGCACAGCCTTAGTACACATACTTTATTCTGTAAACATTTGGGCTCTCAGACGCCCTCTCCCAATTTACATTAGTGTATGTCTTTTTCTCATACGCTGTAGCACCCTAAATTCCCTCATGTATACGTGTATTCATTGACACATTACATCCTGGTCCGGTATGGAGGGAAATTGTTAAAGCTTTTTTATGAAAAAAAAGGAGATTTTATTCCTTTCAATGTGTACACATACTTTATTCTGTAAACATTTGGGCTCTCAGACGCCCTCTCCCAATTTACATTAGAAATAGCGCTATTTCTATCTGGAAATACTAATGTCTCTTGACACTATAAGTAATGTGAAGTTTGTGAAATTTTCCCCTAAAAGTAATTCTTCATCCACCCTTAGAGTCCCTATTAGAAACATGACTTGAGGTCCTAATATATTTTACACGAACGAGGAAAAAATCTTGATCTTTTTTATTTGTAGCATCTCATATGTCCCTGACTCTGACATTGAGCCAAATGTATTATGTCCTTGCTTCACTCACAATACTTTGGGTCCATCCCACATTTTACATGATTTGCCATTGAAAGGATGTAATAATTAATAACTATCCATAAAGAGAGAACTAAACAATGCACTTGTATGTTAGGCCCAACGTAAAGGCTTGTTCAGATCTAGGACACTGCAAGACTGTGGCACTTTTAAAAATAATGACGTAAAGTGTAATGCCCTTCACATTTCTGAATTCTGAACATTTGATAGTGCTCAGTGATTTGTTGTGACTTTATTGATTTCTTTTATTTAACCAGTGCTCTTGTCTTGTTATCTGGAGCTATTCTAAAGCTATTCAAAGCTAAACCTCTCACCGCTCATGTTCATTTTTGCATTAAGTAACCCCTTCTCCTTTTCTTTGTGATTTGTCCTACAGTTCTCCTTGTTGAAGGGGCCAGTGTGAACCTGCCTCTGGGTAGTACCCACTGCCACCTGTACAGCAGCCAGGAGTGTGAGAAAGATGGCACCAAGTGTGGCAACACCACCGAAGAGTGTGACAACAAGGAAGCTGAGATACCATCCTGCTACGTCCTCTGGAAAAACGAGACTTCCTCTGGAGGTGGTGTAGATGTGAGTGAAAACCTGTACTGGTCTGAAGGTAGATTTTGTGTTGTTGATGGTTGTACTTGTATGACACATGCTCCTGCAACAATTGCCACATGATCAATATATCCTACACGAGGGCTTGAAACTATCAGGCAGCCAGAAGGCTCGTCCCAAACTCACCAAATTCTTACCTCATATCATAGACCAAACACTATGCTCAAAACTAACACTAACTCTTTTCCTAAAGCCTCGGTCACAAATACCATTACGAACTGCTACGAACGCCGTACAAACGATTTTCAGACAATGGAAATTCAGGAAGTCGATGGAAAAACGGAGATTCGTACGAAATTATCGTTTGTACGAACCAACCATCTATATTTTATGAAGTAAAAAGCCTGGAGTAATTGTTGATGGAGTACATGTATATTCTGGAGCACTGTTTTGACTCCTATTCCTTTTCAGTTCTTTATTTATTCTCTCCCGTTCCCTTACCAAAATCCCTTTCCCTTTCCCTTTCATTCATACCCTCTCTTACTCTCCCTGGCAGTTGCCTCTTCTGTGGCCGCTCATCTGCTGTGCAGTCGTCTTACTCATGTATCCTAAAAATGTTTCAAGGATACTTTCTCTCCTTTACTCTCTAGATACATGTAGCTCAGCTCATATCATCAATAACATTTATTTGTATTTTACAGGTGTGCTACTTAGTACAATTAACAAATTAAAAATGTGATGTTTAAAATTATTTTGTAAACAAATATTTAAGCAGTATTTGTGGCAGATATGAACAATGTCAGCAAAATATCTAATTTTTAGCTTTTGCTGTGAAGTAGTAAGCATGATACAAACAGTAATCACTGTGACGAATTTGTCATATTTTTGATATTTGATTGTGTGAAGCAATACTGGAGTTGGATTGTACATGTATGAATGGAACAATTTGAACTGCAGTATTGCTTATGCTGATACGAATGCTTATGGAGGAATGTTGCTCAGCTATTAAAGACCTTCATACATAACTGAAATTGCTATTTCCAGGAACCAATCTTTAATTATTTCTCTCTTCTGTAAGAAACTTGAGAAATCACTCAGGGCCATCTATTTTAAATAAGGTACATTTGAAGCAAGATGACATGGTCTGCCATGGAACATCAGCTATTTAAAGAGATACTCCATGTGTGCTCTTAGATGCTGTTAAGTCATGATACACCCACAGCTTCTTCATTTAATCTTACTGCATGAATCACAGCCTCCTGGTTATAATCCATTGAGCTGCTTCACCTCTCTTGTGTTGTACAGGCAGGATAGAGTCATCCAAAGGGGTACCATTGTTTCTCCTTGTCAGGTCTCCGTGCGATAAGAGATGCTTGTCTTAATTTGGTACCTCATCATCTCTGTGAACTTGCTCTTCTTGAGGTTCATCTGTGGGTTATCTTTTGCTCCTATTGTGTTATTACTACAGCAAGTGTGGTAACACAACCCTGATTCTTTATTTTGCCTTCTCTTTGGATGAATGACAAACAGTCCTTTCAAATCATTTGCAGCCATGTCTTCTTTACGCCACCCCCAACTTATTGGTGTCACGTCAATTAATTCTTAGCTCTTTATACCACACAAACACATGCATTCTAAAGTTCACATGTTCAGGTTTTCACATACAGTCCAGTTCTGTATAGGTTTTCATGGTGAGTGAAAGCCTTTGATTTATGAAGAATAGAAGAAAATTGAATGTATTCATTGTATTTCCCCCAAACTCATTATGATGAATGAGACATGTAACTCACATATTTTGCATAATAGCACATACCGTACATGTATGAGGATAGAATTCCAGTTGCATACATTAGTCGCCGCTGTATCAGGTAAGCTTGATACAGGTTTTAGACTTGTGAAGAGCAATTTCTGTTCGTTAACGTTTGTCTCTCATACTGCTTTCAAACTGGTTTCTATCGCAGTCACACCGATGAAAATACCAATTGAATTTTCCTTATGTAAACAAAGGTGAAACCGCCGTTTTCCCTGCTGTAGCTTTCATACCGCCGGTGAAATTCACTTGCTGTGGCGACCCCTTGCCGGAAGTGAAGAATTATTATGTAATTATTAAGCCCGCGCCCCATCTAGCTGGCATGCAGCATGTTCAACTAAAAGCTAACAAACACAGTTGATTACGATAAAGCGCGCATACACTGCGACATTAGACCAATTTAATCGCTGTTTTCTCCCGAACGCATTCACAGTGGCTGTTTCATCGGTGTCACACCGATAGAATGAGAATTTAGTCGCCTATTTCTCTTCTTTTCATCGGCTATTTAATCAGCTTTTTCTCCTCTGTAGCATTCAAAGTGGCTGTTTTATCGGATGCGTCCGGATGCATCCGATGAAAATCAGGCCAGTTTGAAAGGGGTATCAGTCTTTCTGTATCTCTGCCATGTTATTTTCTTTTCTAACCTTTCTTTCCCTTCAACTGTATTTTTCTATCTTCTTCTCCCCCATTTCCCCCATTTCCACATTAAACATGTTATTTTTATTTGTGAGGGCTGCTGTTAAATCAAACTGTGTTCAGATTTCATCAATTAATATAATAACAGTTCATACTTTTAAAAACAATTTGCAGCTACTTTTCAAAAGTCTAAGGGGCAACGTATTCTGATTTGTGTCTGTTTTTCCCCGCTTCTCCACTATACCATTCTCATCTCTGTTCCTATTTATCTTTCCTATGCAGGTGATGATGCGAGGCTGCTGGCAGAATCAGGGTGACTGTCTTGACATGGACTACTGTATGAGCTCTAGTCCTGCTGACCAAAACCTCTTCTTCTGCTGCTGTGTGGGGAACCTGTGCAACATGAACTTTTCTTTCCTCCCGACCCCAGAACCTACCCCCACTGTTACACAAACAACAGTCACAGGTCAGTATTGTACTTCATTGCTAACCTATAGCCTTTCTTGTTTTCTAAAGAACTGATCAAATCAACTTTTATCCCTTCAAATTGCCAACATGGTATATAGTTTTTTTTTTTTTACTGCAATATTTTTTCCTAACAGAATTATGATTACACCATAAATATAGATCTTGATAAATAATTACCATGTAATTAACATCAATAAGCCAGAAGGCCGTTTATGTGCCTATTTTAATGTTGAATGATATGGGATTGTATTGACAGGATCCAATATAGACGAGAAGAAGAAGAAGAACGAGATGCTGACCAAAACCATCCTGTATTCCATCGTGCCGATCGTTGCCATCGCTCTGGTGATCATCATGCTTTACTGGATGTGTAGACGACACCGCTATCATTCCCTGATTGCCATCCCGACCACAGAGCCAACTCCATCACCCATGAACAGCCTACCTCCCATCCAGCTCCTGGAGATCAAAGCCAGGGGCCGCTTCGGTGCTGTCTGGAAGGCCTCTTGTCTCAACGACATCGTGGCTGTCAAGGTGTTCCCTATACAGGATCGCAACTCCTGGGCCAACGAACGTGAGATCTACAGCCTCCCTCACATGCACCATGAGAACCTCCTCCATTTCATCGCGACGGAGAAACATGGAGAGGGATTGGAGGTGGAGTACTGGCTCATCTCAGAGTTCCACCATCATGGATCTCTGTGTGACTACCTCAAAGCCAATGTTATCAGCTGGAAGGAGCTGTGTGGTATCGCTTTCTCCATGGCCAAGGGCTTGGCTTACCTGCACGAGGATATCCCACCTACCACCGCTATACCATTTGTCAAGCATTCAGTAGCTCACAGGGACTTCAAGAGTAAGAATGTGCTGATAAAGAACAACACCACAGCTTGCATTGCAGACTTTGGCTTGGCCTGTGTGTTTGAGGCTGGCAAGAATCCAGGAGACACTCATGGACAGGTGAGAAATAAGTACAACTAGAAAAAACTCTCCTGAAGTAATGGACATCCATCTTATTTTATATAAACTGCAACCAGATACTGTTAGGTACTGTACTTGGCAGAAGAGCACAAATACAAAGTTTTTGTTTATATTTGTAAAATTTCAATTTGTTGATATGTATTAAGATGTAATGAAATACGACATCACAACATATCAGGATAATAATCAAGATGTATGGACTTTCTAGATGTAGTCAGATGTTGGATACCAGAAATTTACATTTTAAGAAGGCACGTTATATTTTAGCTGTAACAATCACAACTTGACACGATGATAACAAATATCATTGAACATGAGCTCCAACAAGTCTGCTCATTTTTCATCTTGCATAAACTTGCTACTACTCTGATCTGTTACAAAAATACATGTGTAGATATTGTCTCATCTATGGTGTGTTTTGTTGTTGCTCTGAACAGGTTGGAACGAGACGCTACATGGCTCCAGAGGTACTAGAGGGAGCCATTCAGTTCAAACGAGATGCTTTTCTGCGTATCGACATGTATGCCTTTGGCTTGGTACTGTGGGAGCTTGTAACAAGATGCACAGTACAAGATGGTAAGCCACTTCCTCTTAGAGAACAAGAGAGAGAGAGAGAAAAGGGGGAGGGACAGGTTCCCTTCTATTCATAAATGTTTCAACATTATATTAAACATGAAGTCAGGAAGCTTTGAAAGATAATTTTGTTTTGATTGTTCTAGGTTTTCAGCTTTATCAGTAAAGGATATGACTTTGGAAATATTATATGCAGAAAGGCCAATGTGTGGTGGATGAATTAGATTTTGTTTCATTCACAAGCACCGCAAGTCTGTTCACGAAATTCAAGGCTTTTATGGCAATTATATGATTCTGCAATAATATTGCATGTGTTACAATAGAAATAATATAATTTCCATGTATTAGGAACACATATTATTGTACACTTCTAGAGATGAGTAATGCACCAACCGAATTAGAAGTCAAAATTGTTAATAGCTATAACATGAAAAACAACGTACATTACATTGTATGAAGTCAGTGGGATAAATATGCATATGATGCACAAAGCAATGATCAAAGAAAATAGCCATAAGCATTTTTAATAGGTGAGTCTGCTGTTCAGTTTTGAATATTAAAGTATATTGGAGTTCAAAGAGAGAATCCTAAATTCTTAGTGATATTTTAAAGAAAGAAATGTTTTAGAGGAGGTGTTGATAAGTTCAATGTTTGTATTATTTGTGATGTGTTTCAGGGCCAGTTCCAGAGTATAGATTGCCCTTTGAGGAAGAGCTTGGGCAAGGCACATCACTAGAGGACATGCAGGAATGGGTAGTGGTCAAGAGGAAACGACCTGTCATCAGTGACCATTGGCTGAAGCACAGGGTATGCTATGACCTACCTTTCTTGTCCCTTTTCACTTTTGATCATCTTTTAATTATACCGTACCTTTTTATCTTTCTCTTCTCTTTGTTTGCATCCAACCTTTTCCCTTTCATTGATAAGACTAATTCAGAAATACAGGAAAACCTTCCTTAGTGGCCACCTTACTATACTATTAAAGCCACCTGTCTTTAGTAATGACACATATGTATCTCTGTGCCATAGAACATGTTTAGAAAGGCCATCTGTCTAGAGTGAAAACCTTTGTCCATTTCCTTCATGTGGCTTTGATAGACTGGTTTCAAGAATGCACCTTGTAAATACTAAATCAAATTGTCATAGACATGAAGAAGAACCAACTGTTGACATCTCCACCCTTCCTTTTTGTTGTTGTAGGGTCTTGAGTTACTATGTGAGACGATTGAGGAGTGTTGGGACCAGGATGCTGAAGCTCGTCTCTCAGCCGGCTGTGTAGAAGAGCGGATAGCACAGTTCAGCCACAGCCACATGAATGGCCACATGAATGGCCACCATCCGGTATCGCCAACGCCTCTCATCATGCAGACCATGCACAATAGCACAAGCTTTGAGAACACTGGTAACACGGAGAGCACAGACATTGCTTTATACAGGAATTCCCCGTCTCCGCCTCCCAAGGAGTCCAACTTATAGGGGTTGTAGGCATGTGGCCGATGCAGACGCTGCCGTTGTGTGTGAGTGTTAGAAGACACTGGATATGTTACCCGCAGGGTGATCATGCAGCGGGAGTGTTGTGTTGCCATGTGAGAACAATCTAGGACAACTCAAAGCTGAATGCCAACTGGGATACAGCGGTTGAAGCTGTAACTTGAAGACGCCAAGAAATATGAAGGAGACAAGGAGATGGTGGGAAACTTGGAGGAGAGATGGCCTACTGCACCTGGAATGCTCTCAACGTGTCCCGCCAGTCAAAGATCCCAGCCCATGGTCAAGAAGTGATTTCTGAAATGTGTTGACAGTGTGTGAGCGATGTCATCAGGTGAAAGTGCATTCAACTCTTTGATAAAATTGCGGAGCATCCATGCGCTTTGCTTCTACCTGTGGATGGGCTGTCCTTTGAAAATCCTTGAAGGTAACGAAAAAGAGTTCTGCGCCGAGGAGATATTTTTGATGACAACTGGAAAAAAGAAGAACAATGACATAACTCATCACCTTTCTAGAATGAACTGAGAGTGATTTATATTATGTGGATGGTTATTGATGCTTTCCAAATGTTTGTAAATAGTGCACCGTCTGAGAGGACATACATGGTGAGGACTTTGCAGACAAATAGGCAGTCTGTGAATTACTGTGCTTTGACATCAGTGTGACCCATAACCCTGAAGGAAGAACTCTGCCAAGTCACACTGCATACATGGTGTATTCTAAAAGCAAGCTTTTTACGTTTGTTGCCGAACTCCTACGTCAATGTCTTTGCTGCATGAGATTATATGTTCTGTTCATTTTTTAACCACCCTTTTAATTGTACATAGATCTTTTCTGCTGTTAAGAAAAGCAATGGTTAGACTTATTTTTTGTGTGTAGACATTGCAGTTAATAGTTTGTGTGATTAAGATAAAAAATACAGTAAAATAATTTGTGTTCCTCAGGATTCAATTTTTTCCGCCAGCTTTGAGGTTTATGTGAGTTAGTAAGGATACAACATCTAGATTGAAGTAAGACCAGGATAGAAGGTTGAATGGGTTATAAATGCTGCATCGGAAAGAGATTATAAGGTGTGTAGATGAATGGAGGAGCCTCCTATATGACAAGATTTGTAGATGATACCTTATGCTGCCAAAGTAGAGATATTAGATAGAGAAAACTGTGTAGGAAAAGAGAGTTAACTATTTCTGACCCTTGACCCTTGTGACAGAGAGTAAGAAATGGGGCGGGGGTTTCAATTACATTTAATTAAAATGTTTTGAGTTTGTACGCACAAAATGACATTGTCTAGGACATCGTTTCTCAAAGTTTTGGAAAGAGTCTTTGTAAACCGGCTTGATTATTTACAGGCTCAATTATTTACAGGTTACAGAATGCCAAGAGAAACTTGGCATGAGCTGGATATGGTGACAAAGTTGATGGTGTTATCCCCTGCACTGAATGAAGATGTTATTGTGAGGTATACCACAGATGAGGTTTCGCTGTTTTATCATGCACATGCTAACTCCAGAAGGGACCAGAATAATGCAAACAGTAGATATACTTTAAATAAGTTATTGCCACGGATGAGTCTTACCCCGTCACTTTAGAAAGACTTTACAATGCCATTTGTGTTTACTTATCCATATATTTGATATGCTGCCACGTAACTTTACCAAACTGTTTGCTGGAGTTAAATGTGTTATTTAGTAAAGATATGTAGCAAATTTAGCGATCGTCTTTCAACTGAAAAGAAGTAATGGATTTCATGTGAAGGGTGAATCTACGGCCCACTATCCAGGCATTTCACACATTGCCTAAGCCATGACACCCATGGATTCCAATGAAAAAGCATGGCATTAGACATGATTTCTTTACCTCCTAAATGTTGTAGTCGGTGTTACTGGGTACATAAGAAAATCAAACGCAATGGAAGGGGCAATTGTTACTATTGGGGGGGGGGGGGGGGCTGATAGAACTTGTTTTACTGGGGATGTATGAGTAGTATCTGCTAGCAATGCAATAAAACAGCAGGATCTGAATCTTAACGTGTTTAATTTAATCAAGATGTCCCTCGTCGACTGCAGGAGTTACACAGCTGCTATTTGATCATTTTGTTTGTGTGTGTGATTGTGAGTTGTAGCCAGACAAAATGACACAAACCAACACATCTGTCATGTGTTGGCAGCAATAGATGCTCAACTTTATTTATGCATGTATCGTACACACCTTGTTTATATCCTGTTTCATGTTCTCTCTACATGTAGCATGTATGTTCTGTATATGTGTCTCTCACAGTGTCAACTCTAGTCACTGAAACTGCCGTCTTAGAGTTATATATATTAATTAGTTCATCTAGCTGATCAGATATTTGTACATTTGTTTTTATCATCATATATCAGCATCGCATTCAAATCTTGCTGATTTTCATCTTATTTATGCGGTAGATATTCTCCGCTGTAGTTGCTTCTCAGGAAGATGCTAATATTGTCTGCTGAGAGGCAGAAGGATGTTAGCTCCTATCTTTATACTTAGAGCTAACATCCTTCTGGCTCTCAACACCCGATATTGTGTAGTTAGTCTATGACGCTGTAGCTCTTAACCTACCTTGGCAGTATTATGACCAAAGCATAGACTTATAAACTTTGTGTGATTGGGAGGAATATCTAAATGGTAAATACTTCAGCTTTGTTTACACATGAGGCAGTAAATCTCCTAAAACATAGCACTGAAATAAAACCATTTTAGTGAGAAAAAAATAAATTGTTGGCAACAAAGGCTCCTGAGCGTACTCACTCACCTTTGTGTAACCCTAATCATATCCAATGAACAATTTTGGAGCTATGAACTTACCATCCCATTTGGAGTAAAATCAGTTATCTTTCATCTGTTAGAAGAAGGGAATATAGATTATATAAAGAAACCTCTTAATGAAGACCTGTTCTGCACCCCCCCTCTCTCTCTCTCTCTCTCTCTCTCTGTCCCCTTCTCTCTCTCTCTCTCTGTCTCTGTCTACCCTTCATCTGCCCTACCTCCCAAGTGTTTTTGTTGAAGCCATTACTAGAATTAACATCAAAAAGTTTGGAAAAGCTATTTGTAACTTACTATTCATTCCTTATTTTCTCACCATCTGCTGTTGTACCTAGACCAGTTTATCACTTGAATTGCTCAATTTACAAGAAAACAAATAATAGGCTGAATATTTGCAAATTTAGACCAGCATGTTACCATGTCATTTTAACGTTCATTACTTTTGCCATTTACCTTTCAGTTTAAAAGCTCAAAGACTAGGAAATCGCACATACATGTAGATGTCATTATTATGAATTTCTTTTTTATCCATGTATTATTGGATATAGCGATCTGTGAATATTCTATACAATTGCATCTAATAATGCTGTGATGTCTTACAAGTTTATACCATAGTGCTGGCTGTGTACACTGTACATGTACATCCGGTCTGTATAGTGACAATACCCAATTTGTATAATTTCTTTTTTAATATCATGCAATATTGTCTATGATTGACAGTGTTACTGGTTAAAATGTGTGTCTAGGTGATGAAGATAAAGATGAATCGCACATTCTCATGGGCATTCATTTTGTATCATGTAAACTTAGTATTTTGTCAGAGACAGTTATTTCAAGTTAAAGAAGAAAGGATGGAAATAAGCTGTCCTGATCAGTCAGTCAACTTTAAGCTCAGGAGACCAACTCTCTGAAGACTTTATAAACATCATGGGACTACCACTTTAAAATTTCCCACGATCTGTCTTCTTTTTCCTACCTCACTTTGGCATGTCAATAACTTACATCGGTGTCAATAAGTAAAAGAAAAGACCAACGACTTTATGCCAGCAGCAGTCCTACGCACACTTTTCAAATTAAGTTATGCTGCACATTGCACACGCATTGTTTCCATTGTTGACCACACCTTGCTTTTTCAAAGTGCCAAGCAGGCGTGAAAATGAAGCGGAAAATGTAAACTTCTGTTGGGGAAAGAAATGATGCAGTAAGGAAGTACATGTATGTGGTGCAGGTCAATAAAATGAAACGGACAAAAGTAACGCGCAACTGCATTCATCTCAGCAGCAGGTGCATATTTATTCTAACACTCTTCAATATGGCTGCCTAACGTACTGTTTTGGACAGGGAGGTTATTAACCTCAAGGTAAGCTTGTATTTAATGGAAAGCAACCAGTCCGTCAAAGTGCAAGTACATGCATTTTTTTCTTCAAACAAAGAACATATAGGAATGCTCAAGTTTAATCATTGTAATCACTTTTCCAATCTTCAATAGCATTTCATACTTACATCTTTTAGGAGCCTCTTTAGTCATTTACCATGAGCTAGAATGGCATTGACCCATACAATTCTACTGCATAGGGTTAATGCCCTTCTGACATTAAAGCTACACAATGTTTATTATGTATTCACTTCCGATGGAGCATGTTCCTGGAAGTTAATGTTTAGCAGAGACATGTGCCAATCTATCACTTGAACCGACATGTATTAGGAGGTAACTTAAGGGTAGATTGTACAGGGTAGCATGTTCATCATCTTATGTATAGGTTTAATATTCAAGGTCTCTTAGGTAAACTTACAGGTGCAAGTAAACTGTTTTTGAGAAGCCAAATCAATGTTATTACTAATATATTTGATAAAGCCTGCAAAGGGGAAGAATATGGGAGCATGATGGTATACATTTGTACAATATCCCTATAACTTTTGTTATTGTGGGGCGGGGGGGGGGGGGGGGGATGGATGAAATGTGTGGAGTACAAGGAGTTAAGTTTATTTTCTTCACCGAATTTGAAAAATACTTCAGACTTGGAAGGTAGTTTATTTATGATATGAATTTGCAAGCCTGCAGTGTAATGTATCATGGCACAATTCCATTTAATCTGTGTATTTATTATTCCTGATATTTATTGACATGATATGAATATGTATGTGAGAGACATCAACTTGCCCTTTACCAGCAAAGTAAAAGAAGATTTTACTGCCCCTCTTGACTTTACATGATGTCTGTTTTATTTAAATTATCTTAAATATTCAAAGCCAATCAGAGGTCACTGCTATTATAGATTGTATGTTTAGAAAAGACCCCTATTGATCACGCTGTATATGTCATCTGTTTTGTGTGTGTAAATATGTATGTTTATGCAACGTGTATCATCGTAGCTTGTAAGAGAATGTACAAAGGATGTACAGACACTCACAAGACGAAAATCAAATAATGAAGCATCAAATACTACCTCAAGATAGAATGCACTTTGTTGGCAGGCAGGTTACACCATAGGAACATGCTATACTGCTAATTATACATGTAATAGGTGATAATCGTGACTGGATGAATTACAGTATACTGCATGCTTTATATTCCTCATGTGATCACAGCCTATCTGCATAGACACCAAGCTTTAATGTCTAGCACGATAAGTCTGCTTCAATACCTTGTCTGAATCTCCTCTTATTAATTTTGTTCTAATTATGTTTGTTTTTTTCATCACTTAATTATAAATGTAATGTTTTTGTCTTCGGAGGAAAAGGAACATAAAAACATTAATCAAATCATGCAGCCCTTTGTGAATTGCACTTTACAGTCGCAAAATAATAGGTATCATTTCAATTCGATGAACATGCCTGTTGCCCCTGGTTAAATATTACATTTGAGGATTCTAGGAAAACATCAAATCCTTGACTCTCAGCCGAGGAAAGTGTGGTTAATTTGTGGTGTTTTGCGAATTACCGCTTCCAAAGACTGAGAATAAAATGCAATCCATTATTAGAACTGTGCAGTATCCATTTCATCAAAATTAAAAGATCTCTATGCCAGGGCCGCCGTTGCCCAGAATATGTCATCTTTCTCTGGATAACTTGTTTGATTTGGGCCGACTTCAACGTTGCATTGGTGTACTTGGGAAAAGTTTGTCCTTCAATCATGTTTGCACTAATACTTCATTAAGTCATGTTGACGACTGTGATTCTTAATTGTATTAACTTCATTTTGATGATTTAAAAACAAGCTATGGGAGCTTTCAGGAGAGAATCTTGATTGAAATTTGAAATTGAATTTCATGTTTGATTTACCATGTTTGTGTTAGGACTGTCTTAGGACCGAGAGGTATATGTATATGCACTTGAGGCTTGTGACCAATTGTTAACGTATTGCACAACTATATGCCCAATTTCATGAGCACCTAACATCGCAATTGTTTTTTTATTAGTCATTGATCTGTTTCGACCCTCTTTCTGAACAGGCTTTCAGGCTGCTCTTACACGTTTGAGAGCTGCCAAGTTAGTGAATAGTCGATAGTGTGTGTAACAATTGCTCCCTTTTTTGTATTCTGTAGATTGTACACGCACACGCAACCTTCCTACGCCAGTCATTGCATTGTCTTTGTTATTGTTGATGTTTAATGTTAATAGAAATCAAAGCTGTTGCGACAATAAGACTTGTCAAGACTACCTCAGGAGAAACAAAAAAAAACTTGAAAATATTGAGAGCAGTTTATGTCTGCTTAAACACGCTTTATTGACTACATGTATGTAATGCCTGTCTGTAGAAATTGATAATTTGTTGTATTACAGAAGGGGTATTTGTATAGATTGATAACCATAATGCACTTTTGATTAACTATATGATTCTCCATCAAAAGCTAAGGACCTGTTAGTGCTCCTTCATGTTTTGTGGAGATATTTTTAAAACACAGCTCTCACGCAAGACAAAGTTGAATTGTATATTTAGACTTAGGATTTTGATTTCTTTTTTAAAGATTATGTGTCTATGTGATTGATTTGTACCTCAAGAATTTTACTTCCTGTCGTTATGATTGGACTAGTTTAGTTTGTATCGTAGATGAGTATAGGATGCCATATGTTGTAGAATCTGTGAGGATTAAAGGAAGTATCATGTCATGTCATTTAATTCATTAAACAAGTGTTACATTACAAGAAACAATGCTTCCAGGCTCCGGATTATGTCATCTGGCACTTTGTCTGTCTGTCTGTATCCCCTAGGGAATTGAATCCTCTCTGTCTTTTCTTCATACTCAACAAAACTATCTCTACACACACTCTCTCTCTCTCTCTCTCTATTTCCCTCTTTCTATCTCTCCCCTTCTCTCTCTCTCTCTCTTTACCTCTCTCTCTCTCTCTCTCTCTCTCTCTCTCTCTCTCTCTCTTCTTGCTCTTGCCTACATGCTTCTCATGTTTTGTTCACATCATAACAAATATCAATAATCTTACAATCATTTAAATGGTTCTTTTGTTCAATTGATCATGGCTGTTCCCATGGAGTGAGTAAACATACATAATGTTAAGTGATTCACATTTCATTAATCTATCCTCCACAATGGTTGAGTTTAATGACCACAAAGTAAAAAGTGAGGCAAAAACTGCACACTTTAGAATAACCAGTTACAGTTTTACGAGGCACTTGAGGGGAGAAGCAATTCCTTATAAATGAATCAAATTTTGTAATCAGTCCCTGACAGTAAAATTCAGCTTCTCTATCAGAAATTGAACATCGCAAGCACAAGTACAATATAAAGGTCTGATGAAATTTCTTTGTTGAAAATAGCACCTTTTTCAAAACATGTATTTTATTCTCTTTTTCTTCAATGCACTATTTGGATGCACTGAAAACTTGAAGAGCAGTTGACACCAACCATTAATTCACTGGTTTGACATATTAAGCGAGCCTGCTTGGATATAGTACACGTAAGAAACACAGTTCTTTGTCCACACGTAGTTTACTTTCTTCAGAAAACACATGATTTACATGACAAAAGGCCTACAAGATTCTGGGGTTTAATTCTGCTTTATTCCTGGCAAACAATGAAATGTCCTCTTGATAATACAAGCTGCTGTGGCTCAGGAGCTTATTTGAGAGCAATAAAAGCAAGTTGGAAAGAAGAAGGAAAAAAAGATAAAGGGCAACAAACTATTGTGATGTGATGTGATTGTGAAGGGATGGTTGGGGGGGGGGGGGTGGGGAAGGGTGTAGAGTTATGAGTGTGGTGTGTTTTGAATGAGCTCATTATGTGACCTCGCAATGCTTCAATTCCTTTCAGGTTCTTGACCTGACATCACAAAGGAGAAAGTTTGGAGTTTTCCTGGTAATGAGTGTCTGGGTAAGCTGGTACGTAAGTGAGAGAGCTAGCTCTGTGTGCCTAACCCAAATCAAACTGCACGATTATGAAATTCCAGTTGAAATATAAACCCCTTTCCCCACCTTTTTTTCTTCTTCGTTTTGAGGTGCAGAGCGTGGGGTATTTTTGGAGCGCAGGTATGTGGGAGAAAGGATAAACAAATACCATGAACAGGGTTTCCTTGAATTACTTATGTAAACATTCTTCATAGTATAGGAATACTCCATTTAAACCAAGGCACATCCAGATTACACATTTGGCAAGATAATATTATATTCCTTGATGATTACTCATTATTATTGTCAATTTCAATTTTGTCATGAACACACTTTGCAAATGCAGGTACAATGTAAAACACTTTATTTCTTGAAGAATTAAAGTCAATAGTACAACCCTTGCTAAGAGAACCTTTTTCATCTTCAGGTCTAATTTATTGACGGGACTATAATTAATGCAGGTCCAAGAATCTTATTTTGGGCTATGTTATGCAGAAATCAATTTGACGTAATTATGAATGTATTATGTTTAACCAATGGCAACCAAACATTGTTTTGTATGTGTTAAATCCCTTTTTCCTTTATTTGAAATGATATTTATACAATAAGGCCATTCATGTCTCCATGTATTTTTACATTAAAAAAACAAAAAACGGAAATATTTTGTCACTAAGAAGCAGACACAAACATTTGCTTGAAAATTTCAAATTGAAACTTTCCTGTCAGTGTATTTGCATATTCAGAGTGAAAGGTATTCATGCAAGGCAACAAGGTCAACATTTCAGTCTAGTTACAAACAGGCATTGAATATGGCTTCTTTGAAAACTGAAATTTCTGACGGTGAAAAAAGTGCTATTGATTTATTCCCTTGACGTCTACCCACTTCTTTTTCTTCACTTTCCTTTTGTATATATCTACATGTACTTTGTGCTTGTATCCTCTATTCTTTCTTACCAGATTGACAGAGGTCAGGTGGATTTATCAGCATACATGAAAAGAAAAGCCCAAAGGGAGAAATACATGAATAAGCATTATTCCATACATACTTTGACCATGCAGTTGCATTGATGAACGCATGGAATTCTTGATAACTCTATACCAATGCAAGCACTTGCATAAGGTAGGTCTTACATAACATCAACAAAGATCCATAACATCAAGAGCTTGGACGAGGCCTTTTTTTACAAAACATTGATAAATAAATGGCCTACAATATGATTTGCTATGAATTAAAGGGGAAGTCCACCCTGATATTACATTGGTTTTAATAGAAGCAGAAAAAATAAGAGAAACAATTCGATGAAAGTTTGAGAAGAACCAAACTACAAATAAGAAAGTTATGAATGTTTCAAAATCATGAAAATCTTGGAGACAAATTGGCAACTGGTGCAGTCAGATATTGTGATGCCATCCCCTCACAATTCACTACTGATCTGAATGACCCAAAATCTCCATTTATCTGAATAGTAGACCTAGCTATCTTATATGGGAGTGCATGAAAGAACATGTTATCCTTGATATATGATAGAGATATAGGCATGAAGAAAATATATCTTTTCATCAAAATGGAATTTAATGAAATTTCTTACATTCAACAAAGGAGACCACATTGCCAATTTGACTCACAGTATTTCATGAAAAGTTATGGATTTTAAATCCATAACTTTCTTATTTATTGTCTGATTTTTTTCAATTAGTACAAAAACAAACTTATTATCAGGGTGGACTTCCCCTTTAAAGTGACTCAGTAACATTGCCTCAGATTCTGAAACAAAATCCTGGATTGAGTTCATGCTTCAATCATAATTATTAAACTTTAGGTCAGTCAGGAATCCATGACTTTTACAACTCCATCACCTGTCTGATTATCAAGATATTTATGATTGGAAATCAATATTTCATTTTATGTTTTCCAAACGTTTTTTTATAACACTAGTCTATTTGGGGAGGGGGGGGGGGGGGAAGAGTATGGCAAAACCAGTCACTCAAAGATTTTTTTTTTCTTGAGGCTTTTCATGATCGTTTTGAAGCGCAATTTTTTTAGAGCTTCATATCACATACACTAATAATACATAGGGCCATGCATCTCAGATTTAACATTGATAAACGATGCCTCTAAGATCTTGTCTTTCTCAACAACCATCATCCTTCCTAGGTTGTCTAAGGCCTTTACTTAATGCTTTACTTATGTTCATAAGCATTCACACATGTATCATTTTAGTACATCCACTCTCCATTTAATGTCACACAAACTAGATCATCTATCATGAACCATAAAGAGAAGAAAAAAATAAATGCAGCACATATTCTTGTAACAAAAATATCAATTTTATTGAGGAATTCTTGTATAGGAATGCTTCTGATACAAATATAAGAAATTCTTGTACAATAAAACAAAAGCAGGAAAGATAAAGCAAGATCTTAAAGACTTATAAAAAATCAACCTTCAATAATTGCAAAAATCTTGATCAAAGTGTGTGAATAATGCCACAAATGTATTACATAATCAAAACATAAGTTCTATATGAGTAGAATTTGACTTGGTCTTACACAAAGTCACCTACCGTATGCTACACACAGCAATTAGTGGGTATACAGGACTACATGCTTTCATTCATAGCAGTCGGGTAAAAGAAAGAAGAAAAAAAAAACATTTAAACAAACCATACACATGTATGTGGCATGAAAGTTTGAGCCATTTTTCCCCATATTTTAAATATGAGGTCATTAGAGGAGCAATCATTTTCAGGGGATATTTCTTTTGTGATATGCTTCCAAACGGATATATATGAATTAGAAAGTTTATAATATTCAAGGTTTACACCCAAAAAAGACATCAATTAAAAACATTTCTTAATATCTCCTAAGTTCTTTTTTTTTCTTCTTCAAACTAGGGAAAAATGATTGAAAATTCATACCAAGACTAGAAGATACTCTACTAACATAGCCTATTACTTTTCATTAAAAGTTATTTGATACTTTCAGAGATTTTGCAAGTGGAATTCTCATACATATGTAATTTTTTGCTGACACCATGTATACACAAATAATTTTATTCTCTTTAAATCATCCTGGCAAAAAGAGAGGGGTGATTTATTTCTGTGTCTTTTTCACTATCTTCCTTGAAAATGTTATATAGTAAAAAAAAAAAATTAAAAAAAAAGTATACAAAAATATAGAAAAATAAATATAATTTTGATATCAAACTCACATTCCGTCCTTTCCAAAATAAATTTCATTCAATTCAAAAGTATTTCATTCCCCAGGACACTGGGTTTAAATCAATGAATAGTTCATTCATGACGGCACAGGTAACAGTTTATTAGTACCTTCTCCACCTTGGCAAATTCATAAATAAACACCATGGAGCAAGACATAGCCTAGTCTTACATCTCAATGCCACACATTTTAGGGTGTTAGCTCCTCCACACCACTTTTTTTAACCCATTGACTACTGAATTGTATAGGTCCCATAGGCTTAACAAAGGGACCACCAGGTTCCTGTAAGCAAAGGGTTAAATGAGAACTGCAACAACAATATAGTACTGATGTCCTCTATGGACGACGGAGTGGATTTCAAGGACTCTGTTAGTTGTGCTCTGCAGGCTTCATCAGCTCTAAGCCTTCTAGACACCTAGGTATTCTTGTTCCAATCTTGAAGCTCAATGGGACACAAGGAAAACAAGTAGAATGCTTTTGTAGGAGTTCAGAAATGATGAAATGATCTTGGACAAATTGTAGGAGCTCACTGGAACAAAATGATTTTGGGTTCATTTATTCTGCTAGCTGTACTCAGCAGGTTTAACTGGCATTACAGTAACCAGATACCTGAGATTGTCTTTGTCCCATTTTGTTCAGCTCACTTGAAACAAGCTAGATGCTACGGCATAAGGAGTTTAAATACTCTTTTCCATGAAACTCTCATTGGATTCTTAGCCAAGTGTAGGGGCATACTTGACAAGACAGACAAGAGCTTAAGGACTTTCTAGCTGTGAAGATACATCAGCCTCCTGGCACCGATTTCAACAGAAACAAGGCAATTGCTTTTGTATAATGAGTTCAGACACTCTTTTCTGCGAAAATTTCACGAAGCCATCGGATTCTTAGCCCAGTGTAGGAGTTCACTTGGACAAGATGGGTAAGAGCTCAGAGACTCTGCTAGCTGTGAAGAGGTGACCAGTATACTCATGGCTCTGTATTCCTTCTGGGTCCTGGTAGATGATGCCGTGCTGTGCTCTGCTGGCTTCACCAGCTCCAAGGCAACAAGATGCTCAAATGCCTGAAATACAGAATTACAACAAACAAATGTAACATCACATCAAAACGACCTTCTAACGTGAATGCATAAAGATCCAAACAGATGTATGAATGAGAGGTTTCAAGACCATTATATTTAGCTATATTAGGTTTACCAGTACCAGAATTGAACATTTTAAGATTACCACACAGGATATGCATCCATCAGGAAAAGCCAGGTGATTAAATAACATAACAATTGATAATTTGGTAAGTCTAGATCATAAAAATCACCAGGAATGAAAAGGAAAATGCATCTTGACAACACCTTACACATAATACATCATCTACACAAAATTGAAATCAAAGCAATAAATATCAGATGATAAGATACTTTCTTTTGACTTACATGGGAAACTAATTGATATCTGAGATTACATGCTCCCAATACTCAATATTCATTTTTTCACAAAGATCATCCAAAATGTACCCTTTAGATTATTATGAGGGAAAAGACCAACTACAAACACACCCGGGGTCTTTTGCATACCTACATGAAAGAAAAATTCAATTAATTTTGATCTTCATCAATCAAGATAGCATCTAGAAGACTTGGGTTTAATTTTTGGAGTAGTGTACATCTTTTTATACAAGAGATTGAAGAGAACCTAGTACACATAAAGACATGTAACTCTTAGTATTAATTAAGCAATGACATATGGAAGCTGTTTCTTTTGATAGTTGAAACATAAGTTTAAGGCATTCATTTAATAAAACAAATGCTCTATATGTGTACACCAGTTGCATGATTTAGACAAAAGTTCTTGTGTTCTACAATAACAGAGAAATCTTCTCTTACTTGCACACTATCCTATCATGTTATGAAATGTAACAATGCAATACTAAAGCCGTACAAATTTGATATGAGATGGTATTAAAAAATATTGCTGTTGATCACTGATTTTCATGACATGATGTAGAATCCTATCCCTAATCTCTTCATAGAAGGAGGCATAATTTGAATTGTTGTCATCAACTTTTATGGTAATACCAGAAGCCTTAACACATGAAAAAATTCTCCAATCTTTGTCTTCCTCAGAAAGATGGAAAATCATTAAAACTATTTATAGATCTGGTTTTATATCTTTTCAGACAAAAATATAACCGAATAGAAAACAAATTGGAGAAGAAAACAATCAATAATAGCTGACAAGCCCAGCAAAAATGATGAATTGCAAAGAGGGATGTTGATGCATAATGTATTTGATTCTTTAAGCCCACTGCACACTACTATTCGACTGTGATCCAATTTTTAAAAGAATTTGAAATGGCCTTTGCTCTGCACAGTCAAACATATAAACTCTTGATGATTGATGTTTGTAGAGTCAAAGAGATAATAAAACCTCATAATGAGGGTAAAGGCATAATCATCTGCGAATCATAATGACTTCCTACCTGTTCTGCAATTGTCTATGATCTGTAGCTAATTTGGCATTTTCTCTGATGAGAAGAATTACAAAATTAAAATAACTGTTTAAATTTATATATCTAATGCATCTGACATTTTGTTTTTTGAAAATCGGAACACAGTAGGATTGTAGAATGTGTATTGGGCTTTAAAAGTACATTGGGACAAGACATACCTTCAAAACAACAGATTTGTCAAACTGCTGGACAGTATGGGATTTCTTCTGAATAAACTTCTGGTATTCTGAAAAAGAAGAGAAGGAATATATTATATCATAACAATAATAATATTCAATATGGATGAACAAAAAGACACATTCCCTATTATTTCTGATAGAAACACTGGCAAATAATACATATATACATTGTATACATATTTACTGCTTTTCACCTTATTGCCCAAGGTGATCAGGAAACTGTACTATTATTTCTCACTGTGTGTATCCATTGTTAACTTCACATGCACTTGTTGCGTCCCTGCATTAATTGCGCAAGTATAACTATGCCCAGTCAATATTTTTTGCTATACTGCCCAGCAGTCATTAGTGAATTTCATGCCTGTAGTTTAGACCAATCAGAGGCCAAGAATCTTTCTATGCAATATATGAAATAAAATATCATACTGGTAATATTATCCAGATAATAACATGCTTTATGCTTTTCAACATAGGATTACTCTAGAAACTTTTGTAATACCATTTTGTAAGAGGCAAGATCTTGTATTAATGATTAGGTTTGTATATTTTTGTCATGGGTATGATAAGATATTTTTAATGAAAATGTAAGAAGAAATATTGGTATGCCCTTTTAAAAATGTTGTAGGTATTTCCTTATGAAGTGATCCCCACAGCCCATGTTGATGATCTGTTTTTGTGTAACATAACATTCCCTAATACATTTTGTTTCTGCATCTACTACTACAGTCAAACCTGTCTATAAAGGCCAATGAAGGGAAACACAAAAAGTGGCCATGGCAGACAGGTTCTTTATACACATTTCCTTCGAGAGGGATGCAATAGGGGAGACCACTATAAACAGGTGGTCTTTATTGAGAGGTGGCCACTAAAACAGGTTAGACTCCATTGGCTTTTTTTCTTCTTCTTCATTTAAAGCCCCACTGCACTAATTATAGGCTACTTGCGCCCTCTATATAGCAAACAATGCCTAATCGGTGACCCTTGGTCCCCCATGATCCCCTTTTTCTTATGTTAATGATGAGTTATCACCTGTCGATGACCATGCACAGAGGTCTAATTCCTCCTGGCCAAACTAGTGCAGAGGGGCTTTAAGGAAGCTACCTACCATTGTAAACCATCTCAAAGTTGAACGGATCTCCTTCATAGAGGTCTGTGAGGTGACGCATGGCAATGATAAGACACAGCTGTAGTACAGATACACCTACAACATAATCATAGGTTGAATCAGATATTAAAGGTAAGGCATCCCTTTTCACATGTGGTTCTTGAGGATTAATCAGATAGTTTGAATCAATGGATGATGCCAAGATGAATATACATGTATATCACTTATATGCATATACATAGGTAGTAAAATAAGATGTACAATTCGTGATTTTCAGGAGCACTTCAAAACAGCGTCTGCTCGTGCCAAATGGTAAAAAGACAAAATGTAGAAATGTAAGAATAAAAGAAAACACCATTTAAGAACTTCCCTCTAAACATAGGAATTGGAAACTGACTATTGTGGAATAAATTAATGATTTGATCTCAAATGGGATTTTGAGCAGGTATAGAACAATATTATGTGGCTAAATGGCTCCAAATGTAACAGGGCTGATCTGTTAAAAAAAATAGCAATGATTCTGTAACACAATCAATCTACCAATTGTTTCATTCCATGAAATCACCCTTCCATGAAAGCAATTGGTCAGATTACCTTTGTTGTAGATTTACAAATTTTACAATAGAATCAAAAGTTACATATTTATAAATCTTGACTATGAAAAGTTTACATTCATGACAATTCTCAGTCCTTCATAAATGAGACTTTATTAATGAGAGAATACACAAAAAATTCAGTACATATGGTTAATCATTTATAAGAAAAATCACTGGGTTGTTTGTGTCAACGAAATGTAAATGTTTATCTTCCTGTTAATTCTAAGGTTTCATTTGACGCAAGAAACCCTATATCAAAATCCCTTCCCACAGCATTTTAGTCCAATAACAACATCTTAGAAAACAGATTCCTTGTTCATCTCATATAAAGACCCTCAGACTTTAAAATATATGTAATCTATAAATATACAATATTTTCGAAAGATGTCACTTTCTAGTTTTGTAATGACTAATGAAAATGAGGAGAAATCAAAAAGGGAAAGTATAAAAGAAACAGGAAGGTTAAGCAAGAAAAAGGAAAAGAAGAAGAGGAGGAAAAACAAGAACAAGAACAAGACGGAAAAGAGAGAGAGAGAGAGAGTGAGAGAACAAAGAGGAAATCACATGAAGAAAACAATTAATTATATAAAAATAGAGGGATGTAGATACAATATGAAAGGTAAATATTCAAAGGAGGGTCTAAACTGAATAAACTATGTCTTGTCAAATATCATAGTTATTAAAGCTTTTTCTTGTTTTGCACAATCATTACTGAAACCCTACCGTGTAACATAGCAGCCTTTGAATCAGTACTGTGTATCTTTCGACTCTCCAGTAGTTGATGACCCTCAAATGTAGGATGATCTGCACCGATTCTTGAAATTGGCAACAACTGAAAAGAAGAAAAAAATGTGTTGTAGCTTAATTGACTCATCAGAGCTATTCAGGATGGTCTCTTATTCTAAAAGAGGTTAACAAAAATCATGCATGGGTGCTTTTTATATTCATATATTACACAAACTACAATATGCATTGCAGTTTTTCATTTGTTATCAAAGTATATTTTGATGTGCCTTGTGTACAAAAGAAATAATTATTTAATCAATACTATTCCAAAAGAAGGCATAAAATGAAATAAAAGAAAAAGAGGTGTGCCTAAAACAAGAATCTGGCAGCAATCAGTAATTCACACACACAAACAAAAATTTGAACGTGGGTATCCTTAAGCACTTGTATGAATGATGAAAATGTGTCCATCGTTGGAATTCATAATTTGTCAGATTCTACTGAATCCTTGCAGGGCTTCTAAATTCCTAAACATCCCTAATTAACACTATCCAATGTCATATTTGAAAAATGCCTCCATCATCATCATCTAAATGGGAATAAATTATCTTTCATTTGATATTACTTATTTCATATTTTCTTAACAGTGAGATAAATAAAAAACTGCCTTATTTTAAGTGCAATAAGATTGTAAAGAGTTTATCTTTAGAGCTGAATATTGAACTGCCCACAGCATTGAATGTGTGTGTCAAGTACTTGTTATTGATGACCTTTGACCTCTTACCATTAGACTGTACAGACTCCTAACTGATTTGTCCAAGCTATAGGTCTTCTGTAGTATCTCGGTGATGGTGGCATCTTCTGTAAGCATCTGGTTAGAATAAAACATAACAAATATAAAAATGAACTGATTTAAAACTGGTTTCACCAGTAACAATGACAACAAAACTATGTGCACAGGTACCTACACAGTTAGCCATAAAGGTAATCACACCTATAACAAAACAAAACAAAACAAAAAAAACGACCCCTGATAAACACGGCCTAAATGACTATTTTGGAACTTATGTCACATGGAAAGAGTAAAAATCGTTAGCTAAAAGATATTACAGTTGAGGTCTGTCCCTCAAAATCAGCTGCCAATGAGTATTTCCATTGAGATGATAAAATTGTTAAAGAAAGCTCCTTAGCACATATTGCTGAAGGTTCGACCTACAACAGTTAATTTTGTTTTTTTACAAATAAACCAGGTATAAACCATCTAACAAGCCCTTAAATGACACCTCATATACAATGGACATCATTCTCGTCAAATCCGTTTCTCTCATCAGTAATAAGACAAAAGTCTGATGGGACTTCTTTTGTAAGAGTTACATACCTCAATGTGATTGTTCCATTCTTTGGCAAATGTTTTGTCCATGAAATTAGAGGGCAGCATAAGGGTTTTCCTGAAGACTTCGCAGTACTGGTCAAAGGTCAAGGTGTTAAAGACATGAATCTGTCGGTGAGAGAAGCGTGATTTGACCCTCTTCTCCAGCAGTTCCACAACGTCCTATGAGGAGACATTAATACAAAAACGATAAGTTAAGATATTTGGAACATATTTTAAGTGCATTAGTCATTCGTCATATCAAGTACTTTCCATTTGGGGCTGAAATAAATTGAGAGATTGTCGAATAGGACACAGATATCCCTCATACAGCATTATTAAACTTTTACAAAAAGTAGCTCTCCATAACTAATGATAAATATAGTATTCTGGTGGTACTTTATAATTACACCAAAATAAAGCTTTAATATACATATTATATAATAAATGGGCTCAAAACTATTGTTGTGACCAGGGCCCCCATCTTAAAAAAGAGTTGTGATTGATTACAACATCAAGTCAAAGGTAATACAAAGTTTTGGTAAGGGTTCATGAATTTGGTTCAAATGAACATATTGGAAGCATGCGATCCTACAATATTCAGTGATCGTTGTCGCGGTTGAAATTGAGTCTTAAGTTATGATATTGTAAATAATAAACTCTTTGTGTTGTATAGCTCCCTCTCAAAGTCAAGATATTAATTAAGCTATAAAACAATGTTTATCAAAACAATGTTTATTGACTAAGATCGACTGATAAGCTATCATATGGAAATTACATATCACAAAACTACATATTCTGAGATTTTCATTGTCGCAGTTGCCGTTGAACAGCCGTAGGCGCCATTTGAAATTTATCAAAATTTAACCGGGAGCAACGGTAAATTTTTATATTCAATTTTTCTCAAAAGCAGAAGTCTTATAGGGGCTAAATTTTCTAGTGCTTATAATACATCCACAGGGGAATCCAAATATATAAAAATTGACAAGAATTACTATCCACCCAATATTTTCAAAATTTCCCAAAACTTTGTATTACCTTTAAATAAAAAGATGTACTTTTAGTTTTGATTCATAACAATTAGTAAAAGATGGTGAATTTCTAACGGTAAGTTTTTCCACACCAAAGTGACCATACAAATGCTCAATCTCCCAATGTTATTCTTTTTTGTGTGATGGGGTTTGGAATATTCTTGGGAGCTGTGCAGGTTGTGAGTATGTTTATTAAACTTCAGTTGTAATAGTTCTACCATATACCGAGGGGATTGACCACTTAGTACTTATAGATAATCAACAGAAACTTGAATGGTATTCTTTGGCATACTGGTTGCCAGTGCAGATCTATCAAGAGAGAGATGAGAATTTGGAACAACCACAAATCAGTCTTGCACAGGTGTTTTAGACCTGCTGCAGTCGCCCTATTTGCGAGTTAGGGAGTCAATTCAATAACCCATTACAGTAGACTAACTTACTAGTGATGCAATCATGAAAAATTGTTTTAGTACTGTCCTGATCAAAATACTCTTGAATACGTCAGAGGTTATATGGTATGTTGAATACCCATGTTTGTAATTTGTGCTTCCATATAAAGTGCTACTGATTTCTAGCACTGAGTGATGTTTTTATGACAGAACTTCTGACAGATTCCCCACTGAAATTAAGTTTGGATACTTCTTTAGAAGTGCCAATAAGCAACTATTTTGTTTTCCTATCATTTAGCATCAGTTTATTTGAAGCATTCATCCACCAATATAATCAACACATGCTTCTATTGCTTAAATTCTTTGCTCTTGAGCAAGTACATTAGACCTGAAAGACAAATAAATGTGTGTGTCTGCATAGCAGTGGCATTATATTCAAGGGAATTCATGTTGTATAATAGTAATGAGGCTGCCTGCGATAGAGACTGATATAAATTGCAAATTATTTGTAATCAACTACAACTCTTTTATAAGACGAGGATAAGAACTCAGCTTTATCCTTTAGGCTTATTTACAAGCAGATACCAGTGGCGGATCCAGGGGGGGGCCGAAACGGCCGCGGCCCCCCCTATTGGCGGCGCAAAAAAAAAGAGGAAAAAAAAGAAAGGAGAAGAGAAGAAAAAAAGGAGAAGAGAAAAGAAATGAGAAGAGAAAAGAAAGAAGAGAGATAGAGAAAGAAAAAAAAAGAAGAAGATCCCCCCCCCCCCCACCTCACTCCCTCCCCGGGGTCGGAGGGACCGATTTTGTGTTCCCAAAATTTCCGATAAAGGGTTACTTTTCACGCAACAAAGTCCGGCCCGTAATACACACAAATCCGGCCCGCACTGACTCTACACACCGAAGATAAAGGGGTGCTTTCAAACTAAGAGAGGGAACATACATGCGCATACCCTAGATAACACTGAGTGGATGGGGGGGGGGGGTGGGGGTGGGAATGGGGAAGAGAAAAGTCGGGTGAGAAAGGGGGAAAGACAAGGAAATGGCGCTAAGAGACAGTAACGACGAATAAGGGAAAAACTGTAATCGGGAGATTTGGGGTCATTCCAGAAGGCTTGGGAAACGTTATTGAGTAGAGGGGGCCGGGCCGGCCGCATAAAATCTCGAGCCACGGATTCAAAGTTAAACGTTACAAACAGCCCCTGCTTTTTGAAAAAAATTGAAAAGGGCACAATGTTTTGGATGTCTTTCAAATAGAAGCTATATACTAAACAGTCAAATTTTAAATTAACGGTAGGGCCGCTTCACAACTCTTATTTTGCCCTTCATTTGGATTCAGCTCATACCAACTCGCTTGTGCTTATATTTGAACTCATGTAGGTAGTGATAATGGACAGCGGCGGCGATCCTGGGCCCGATAGAGAGACACGTCCCCCCGGAAATTTAGATATATAGCTAGAAAGAAATATACATGTAGCGGAAAGAACGTACATATTGGACAATGCATAATTTCAGCATTCTACATTGCAAAATCTCGCTTGGTCGCTCCGCTCCGGCCCTCGCCCGATAACACAAAACTAAGATATGACGCTCCCGGTCCCGATTATTTCATGGTTGGTGTATACATAGATCTTTTTTCCCCTTTCATTTCTACTGACCTAATTGTATGCTATCACAATCATGATTGTTTCATTTTCCCTTTAAAGCATGCGTAGCTAGGGGCGGTAGGGGCAGTAAGAGAAGATAGGACGAAAAAAAGGAGCAGACAAAGAAACATTTTTGACATTTTTCTCTAATAATTTAATGAAACGTTAAGCTTCTGCGCTTTGCGCTGGAGGGGAAAACTGAATTCAGAGAAGGATTAAGAGTCGGGAATGGAACAACGAATTATCTTTTTTCTCTAATAATTTCATTAAACTATGAAAGGTCAGAGCTTCCGCGCCTCGCGCGGAAGGTGGAAAATGAATTCAAACAAGGATTAAGAATCGAGAATGAGACAACGAATCATCTTATTTCTCTCATAATTTAATGAAGCGTCAGAAGCTTACGCGCTACGCGCGGGAGGAGGAAAACTGAATTCAGACAAGGATTTAGAGTCGAGAAAGAAACAAGGAATCATCTTCTTTCTCTAATAATTCAATGAAAGGTCAAAGCTTCGCGCGGGAGGGGGAAAACTGAATTAAGACAAGGAATAAGAGTCGAGAATGGTACAACAAATCATCTTCTTTTCTCTAATAATTCAATTAAACGTCAAAGCTTCCGCGCTTTGCGCGGAGGGGGGGAAACTGAATTCAGACAATGATTAAGAACCGAGAACGGAACAACGAATCGTCTTCTTTCTCTAATAATTTAATGAAACGTCAAAGCTTCTGCGCTTTGCGCGAGAGAGAGAGAGGGGGGGGGGAACTCAATTCAGACAAGGATTAAGAGTCGAGAACGGTACTCTTTCTCTAATGATTTAATGAAACGTCAAAGCTTCCGCGCTTCGCGCAGGAGGGGGTATGGAAACTGAATTCAGACAATGATTAAGAATCGAGAACGGTACAACGAATCGTCTTCTTTCTCTAATAATTTAATGAAACGTTAAACTTTTGCGCTTCACGCGGGAGAGGGGGGAAGTCAATTCAGACAAGGATTAAGAGTCAAGAACGGTACTCTTCTTTAATGTTTTAATGAAACGTCAAAGCTTCCGCGCTTCGCGCGGGAGGGGGTATAGAAACTGAATTCAGACAATGATTAAGAGTCGAGAACGGTACTCTTTCTCTAATGATTTAATGAAACGTCAAAGCTTCCGCGCTTCGCGCGGGAGGGGGTATGGAAACTGAATTGATACAATGATTAACAACCGAGAACGGTACAACGAATCGTCTTCTTTCTCTAATAATTTAATGAAACGTCAAAGCTTCTGCGCTTCGCGCGAGAGAGAGGGGGGGGGAACTCAATTCAGACAAGGATTAAGAGTCGAGAACGGTACTCTTTCTCTAATGATTTAATGAAACATCAAAGCTTCCGCGCTTCGCGCGGGAGGGGGTATGGAAACTGAATTCAGACAATGATTAAGAACCGAGAACGGAACAACGAATCGTCTTCTTTGTCTAATAATTTAATGAAACGTCAAAGCTTCTGCACTTCGCGCGAGAGAGAGGGGGGGAACTCAATTCAGACAAGGATTAAGAGTCGAGAACGGTACTCTTTCTCTAATGATTTAATGAAACGTCAAAGCTTCCGCGCTTCGCGCGGGAGGGGGTATGGAAACTGAATTCAGACAATGATTAAGAATCGAGAACGGTACAACGAATCGTCTTCTTTCTCTAATAATTTAATGAAACGTTAAACTTTTGCGCTTCACGCGGGAGAGGGGGGAACTCAATTCAGACAATGACTAATAGTCAAGAACGGTACTCTTTCTCTAATGATTTAATGAAACGTCAAAGCTGAATTCAAACAATGATTAACAACCGAGAACGGTACAACGAATCCTCTTCTTTCTCTAATAATTTAATGAAACGTCTAAGCTTCCGCGCTTCGCGCGGGAGAGGGAAGGGGAGACTCAATAACTTATTCAGGCAAGGATTAAGAGTCGAGAACGGTACTCTTTCTCTAATGATTTAATGAAACGTCAAAGCTGAATTCAAACAATGATTAACAACCGAGAACGGTACAACAAATCCTCTTCTTTCTCTAATAATTTCATGAACATTAAAGCTTCTGCGCTTCGCGCGTAATGGGGGGGGGGGGGGGAGGGGACAGCGAGCTGCCCGAATATGAATTTGTTATATCTTTTCTCGTATATTTTGGTGATAAATAACACTTTCACAAAATACATATCATCCTCAAATTTTTGCTCGCTCGCTTCGCTCACTAGCCGAATAGTGAAACCAGAAAATTACTTTTTCGGGCAAGAGGCTTCGGCCCCCCCCCCCCCCCCCCCCCCCCCGATGAAAATGTCAAAAAAAATTACCGGTATGGTGCTTCTAATATGACCTTGTCAGTATTGGTATGTTGAGTTGAAATACTGTCTGCGCAATTTTCAAATTTCCGGCCCCCCCTATTGGAAAATCCTGGATCCGCGCCTGGATACTACTTTCTTTCTAAGCACCCACTTAAAGTGACATTGCCTCAGATTCTGAAGCAAAATCCTGGATTCAGCTCATGCTGCGATCATAATTATAAACCTTTAGGTCAGTCAGGAATCCCATGACTTTCACAAGCCAATCGCCTGTCTGATTATCAAGATATTTACGATTGGAAGTGGAAACTTCATTTTTTGTTTCCCTAACATTTTTTATAACACTACAGTCTATTGGGAAAAATGAGTACCGGTATGGTAAAACCGGTCACTCAAAGATTAAAACTTTTTTGAGGCACTTCATGATCATTTTGAAGTGCAATGTTTTTAGGGTTTCAATATTACACCATATCACAGACACTGATAACACATAGGGCCATGCATCTCAGATTTAACATTGTTAAATGATGCTTTCAAAGGAAAGCAATGAGAAAGAAGCCTTAACTACATCCTACCAGTCTGCAGGTGACTCCAATGACTGTGATGGGTGTCTGGGCTGACTGGCAGATATCAAAGAGATTGTAGAGGAGAGTCTGATTCTTATGATGGGCATACAGATCAAACTCATCCACGATGAACAGAATGGACTGGGCTCCACTGGAATCTGATGGATTAAAGTACATTTTAAATTTCAGGATGATCAGAGAGAGAGAGAGAGAGAGAGAGGGGGGAGAGAGAGGGGGAGAGAAAGAGAAACAGAGACAGAAAGAGACAGAGAGAGAGAAAGAGAGGGAGAGAGAGAGTTTGTGGTGGCATTTAGGAATTTTATCTTTTATGCTATTATATTTTTTTTCTCTCACAAAAACACCTTTGAATCACACAGAATAAAAGCTGTTCATGAGTGCTAATGACTTACTGAAGTAGTCGGTAAATAACTAATGAATATTTATTATCAGATTTGGTAAGACAATTAATAAACCTATCATTAAAAGAAACAATTTCACAAAATTGTAATTAAATTCCAAAGACAGATGCTCGTTGACATTTGTAGTTATGATGTAAGAGGAATAAAAGTCAAGACTGCTATATCTTTTAGTTTTTCTTGTTCCCAAATGCACGTTTATGCCAGCTTTTACACAATATTAATATCTTTTCCAGAGGCTGCCGTTTCATCTAACATAACTAACATTGCCAGTAATGAGACTGGAGAGGTGAAATCTGAAGTATAGACGTTTTTCTTCATGAACCAAATTGGTTACCTTATTCACTCTTCTATCTATAAAGGGATTTAATCGTACAACATTAAATCATTTCTTTTTCAAATAAAGATTAGTCAAATTACCTCACTTTAAGAGTAAATTACAAAATAATCAAATAATCACTTAATCTCACCCTTCTTTAAAGACTCAAGCAGGAATGCTAGATTTTCAGAAAAGGAACCCTGTGAATATGAATGTAGAAACACAATTTTGATTAACTGCAAAATATAGAAGGAACAAAATTCCCTCAAACACCACAGTTTCTACAGGACAAATAAATACAATTTGAGGAGTCCTCTCATATCATATCATTCAGGCTATCGGCCATTTTATAACCATTGTGGTGCATTTTAAAATCTCCTTCGATCAATTGTACATCAAATTGTAGTGTTGGAATTTAGATTTGTCCTTTTTTCGTACGTAGATGACTTTTGTAAATTTCCACAAAGGTGCCGCTGAAAGGTTTGCTAACAAAAAATAGTTCCATGATTCGATAATATATTGCAATGGTTATTTTGAGGAAGAATTGATATTTTGACATTTAAAGTTCGTTCAAAGAGCAGCCAATAGACAAGATTTTATGAATTTATAGTACATTTTTGCTTTAATTCAGATGGTTTCTGTAGTAAAACCAAGAGTGGATGGATATTTCGATTAGAGTACATGTTGTTGTGCTAGTTGTACAGGCACTCTGGTATATGCCTAACCTAGCAGCATACATTGCATGCACACAGTTCATCGCGTAGAATCTGTGATGATTGAGCATTCATTCCTGCAACTTACAAAGACTTTCTCTTCTGCAACATTCTCGAGCTTGAGTTGTCTTGTGATCTCCTGGATAGCGATCCTATCATCCGTCTGGAGCAGACCATTCAGACGCACCTGAAGCAGGTTGGTGGAGACTTTACGATTCTTCACCAGTTCAGCCAGGACATGCTTCAGCAGCTGTAAAGCAAGATCGGATATCAAAGTTGAAACCATATTATATTGAGAGTTTAACTTTTGCTCTCAATACAAAAATCTTTACCTCTGATATTTTTAGCGTTTCAGCTCCAGCTGACACGACTTGACCTTTCTGATGTAATGGGAAATAATCAAATTATCTGGAATTCTCAATTTTCATGACACCATTTCACAACTTTCAGTATTTTTTATGTAACAAATCCACTGTGAATTTTCATACCAATAAAAAAATTGATTAAAGTGACTCGGTAACATCGTTGAAAGTTGAATTGTAATAATATAGTTGGGAGAATTAAGGAATCGATCAGATCAGTTTTTCCCACTTTGTATCATTAATAATGGTCCGTTTTCACTCAGATTTTCAGATTATCTTTAATTGTACATCTAGCATTGAAGTCACTTCCTTAGCACCACTATCTCTCATCTGAACAATGTTACCAAGTCCCAATAAGGGTAGAACAGTATTTGGTGAAAAGTTGTCAATGTTTATGTGTTTTTACAGATTTCTTCCCAATTGTTGTTGATTTATTTCTTTTTCTTGCAAAATACACTTGTCACAGACAAAACCCAAGGAGTACACTTGCAAAATTATCAAATAATAGCCTAAAATTAAGCCAAAGAATCACTACTACAGATATATTAGCTATTGGGTTTTCATGCTTCCACAAGTCTTACTCTTTAATTTCAATACAATATCCCAAAATGTGTAGTTAAACCCAAGTCAAAGAAAGGACCCAAATCCAGACAACCAAGTCCAGTATTTGAATGATCAAAATGTTACCTAAATATCTAAAGTGCATCATTTGTTTGACCATGAGTAAGCATTCAATATATCTTCCAAGCCTTACCATTGACTTTCCACTTCCACGAGGACCAATAACCAGGGCTGAGTTGCTCTCACCTTGAGTAGCACAGCGCTCTATGATATCCATCAAATGCCTGCATGGAGTAGACAGAAACTAGATGGAATTTTGACTGCGCGCAGTCGAAAATGATGCCTCCGCAATAGAGCAATTTAAACAAGTTTGGAGTTTAAATCTCCAGTGGTTCTTGAGATATCATGATAACAATCTCAATGTATGGAATTTCATAAGTTGACCTCTGTGACCCTTGACCTTTGACCTACGTGCTCCAAAATCTAATCAGATTGTCTTCCTATGGTGATACACACTATCATTAAGTTTGAAGTTTAAATCTCTAGTGGTTCTTGAGATATTATGATAACAATCTCAATGTATGGAATTTCATAAGTTGACCTCTGTGACCCTTGACCTTTGACCTACGTGCTCCAAAATCTAATCAGATTGTTTTCCTATAGTGATACACACTATCACTAAGTTTGAAGTTTAAATCTCCAGTGGTTCTTGAGATATCATGATAACAATCTCAATGTATGGAATTTCATAAGTTGACCTCTGTGACCCTTGACCTTTGACATACGTGCTCCAAAATCTAATCAGATCGTCTTCCTATGGTGATACATACTATCCTTAAGTTTGAAGTTTAAATCTCAAATGGTTCTTGAGATATCGCGCTAACAAACTCAATACAAGGAATTTCATAAGTTGACCTCTGTGACCTGTGACCTTTGACCTACGTACTCCAAAATCTAATCAGATCGTCTTCCTATGGTGATAAATACTATTCCTGAGTCTTAAGTTTAAATCTTAAATGGTTCTTGAGATATTGTGATAACGGTCAAACGGGACGGACGGACGGACGTACGGACGGACGTACGGACGGACGTACGGACGTACGGACGGACAACCCGAAAACATGATGCCTCCGGCACCACCTTCGGTGGCGGAGGCATAAAAAACAATTACTATCAGTTAATGATCTATCAGTGGTTTTATTGTAACACAAACATGCATGCTTAACAATATCAAATCATATCAAAGGACACTAGATTTTTATGAGAAAAGCATGTCCTGTTGTAAGAATGCATCTCATTTCTTAGCCTTTTTTACTGTTTGAAGTCTTACCTTCTCTGATCCTGCAGATGTGGAAGACTGGCTGGTAGTTCAGAACCACACATCCTGTTCCTCAAGATTCTCTGCACCTCAAAATAAACTTCATCTTCAGCTCCTGATAGGGAGGACGATGGATTCGGTTTGATGCCAGCAACACTCTTCCTCCCTTTGTTCTTTGATGGCATCTTGAAAACAATGAGTTTGGAACTTGGAAGACGTGTATTTTTACTGGTATCGGCTCGCTGAAAAACTTTCTCTCAGATTCAGAACATCAGAACATCTTTGCTTAAAATACAATGAAGATTCCCTTCATTTGGTGGGAATATGGAATTGAGGAATGAAAGAAAAAAATATAAAAATATAAATGAGGAATGAAAGAAACCCTAAAACTTAAAAAAATGAATAAAAGTAAAGAGATTTAGGCATTAAAAATACAACAATCAGTCAAGGATTTGTGGATTAAAGTAGTTTAAGTCTAGTGACTTTCGAACTCCAGGGAGCTCTGGCACGCATCAGCGTCGAGCTCACTGGAGTTGGTGACTTTCAATTTCATGAAATATTATCATTCACAAATAAACCTAGATCTACATCAAGATAAAAGAGAAAAAATGTTTGATGTTGGTCAGACATATATATGTACAACATAGGACACTAGTATTAACATACTCTTCTGAAAAGTGGTATCAACTCTTTTGAAATCCCATGGTTAAAAAATCAATCATAATTTTTTTTAAAGATATGAAATCAGTAGGGACTAGGGGCTCTGCTCTGCTCTGGTCCGAGAATGAGGATCGTCTGCATAAACGAGGATATCCTTGTAAACGCAGACAAATCGCAAATATACGATATCGAAGAAATGTCATACCTTAGAAATGTAGAGGATTACAGTCGTCTGCAGAAAATAGAAGTTCTTTTAAAGTCCCCTACGGCCTACTAGCTACCTGACTACAAACACAAAATTGGACGTATGGGACAGTACTCTCAACATCTCTTCGCGAGTCGTTCAGTTGGATCCTTATTTCCTCTAATCATGGCCTTATTTAGCACTGCAAGATATTTTATCGCTACAATTAAAAAAAGTCTATAATTCTCTTTAACTTACCTCACGCTCAAGCTATCTTTTCACTCAGTGCAGAAGTCAGATGCAGAGTGAAACAGTCAGCTCAGAAAAAACAAAACACATGTCCTAGTGGCCTTTATTCAGGAACTTCTTATATTATTTCTTTTATTTCTGGTTGTTTATTTTGTGAGGACCCCACTTTCATTCTAATTTATTCATTATAAAGTCTTTATTAATTAATTCATATTACTCGATCATTTTATTAGTGAGTATTTGCCTATTTGTATATTGCTTTAATTTCTTTTTTGTTTGTACATAATTAAATAATATATTATTGGTACAAATATGATTGATGGTATTCTTCAATACCTTGGTCATGGGTGACATGAGAATAAATGTCATTGTCATTGTCAATCACTAAGATATCTTTGTTTTATAAAAAGTTTGATGTCGGTATACAGGGGCGGATCCAGGAATTTCTTCACGTGGGGGGGGGGGGGGGGCACGGGGGAGGGGGGGGGGGGGGTAAGGTGAATAAGCGGGGTGGGGGGGGGGGGTAAGAGCACATTTTTTTTGCTCCCGAATATTTGAAAATCGCGCCGGCCGCAATTTCCGCTCAGTGGGGGTGGGGGGGGGGGGGGGGGGGGTGCGCACTAATTTTTTTTTTTTTTTTTTTTTTTTTTTTGGGGGGGGGCGGGGGGATACGTCCCTGTTTGCCAGTACATTTTTGGCTAATTTGGGGCTGATTTCAGCATTTTTGGGGGCCGGGGGGGGGGGGCACGTGCCCCCTGTGTCGCCCCCCCCTGGATCCGCCACTGGTATACTGCAGGTGTATTCAAATATCAGATCACATCTAGGCAAAAGCGTCCTATAACTGTATACTACTAGTAAACACATAAGTTGATAATTTGATAATTATATAATATCAAATGTTTATCTTTGTTCATATTATCATATGTTTATCATTTTTGATGTTATACTATTGTTATATTGATAATATGTGAATATGTTTGTACTTTTATACACCGAGAGGGGGTCGATACGCCAAATCTTACAACTAGTTGATGAAATACAGGATGATCATTATGCTTCTTCAAAAAATTTCTTCATTATTGGTAACCGAGGTAATTGGGCTTAAGTCGAATTTAGTTCAGGATATTCGCCCCCTTTTGGACTTCGGGTGTGAAGCCTACGACAGTGCATCGGAAAACGTAAAGAAGGTGTTAGATTCGATTCAATACCAATCCTTAAGGATATGTGCAGGTGCCCTACCGGTAACTTCACTAGCGTCTCTCCAAGTAGAAATGGGAGAAGCCCCATTAGATCTTAGGAGACAACAACTAGCCCTGAAATATAAGCACAGCATAGAACAGCAACCTAAGCATCCAGTTTTTCCAAGTTTACAACCTTGTTGGCAGTATCAGTATATGAAAGGAAAACAGTGCAACAAACCGTTTGGTTATCGAACAGAAAACTCTAACAAACACCTTTCTGTAGAAAAATTAAAACCCCTAAACTTCCCCCCATGGTTACTAACGGAGCCTGTTATATCAATTGAATTGGCTAGTCAGATAAACAAATCTGATAATCCACTACTTTTGCAACAGAGAAGTTTAGAAATAATAAACACAAAATGGTTCAGCCAACTTCACATATTCACAGATGGGTCCAAACTTCCTAAAGAAGGACGTTGTTCTGCAGCTTTCTATGTTCCTTACTTCGCGTGTAAACAATCAAAGAGATTGTCTGACGGAACATCCTCATATAGAGCTGAGCTGGCGGGGATAATGCTGGCCCTCAATTGGTAACACCAGTTAGATACTTTATATGTAGGATCAGTTATATTCAGCGACTCATTAAGTGCCTTAGTAGCAATAAAGAACAAAAAAGAAGAGAATTTTATTTCAGAAATACTTGTAAGCTTATCCCACCTTAAATTAAAAAATATAAATGTTAGCTTTGAATGGATTCCCTCCCACTGTGGAATAACGGGAAATGAATGTGCGGATTTTCATGCTAAGGCAGCCCTCAGCAAACACATTGAAATAACAAACAGCCTTAATATCTCAGAAGTGAACAGCATTTTAGAAAAAGGCATTTTACCGAGCTGTGGCAATTAAGATGGCAGGTTTCTCCAAATACACATTACAAAACAATCCAAAAATCGGTTGCACAAACCTTCAATTGCAAACTAGAGCGAGCAAAAGAAAAGATAATACGTCGTTTACGACTTGGACACATTGGTCTTAACGCGGATCTAGGCCAAATGGGAATACATCCAACTGGACACTGTAACTCGTGTCGAGAAGTAGAAACCACTGAACACTTTATAGCAAAGTGCCCGAAATATTTAATTGAAAGATCCATGCTACTCGCTGAAACAGATTGTATAAATCCCGACGATATTTTAAGGCTCTTAAATTCATCAGAAGCTAACATTCAAAACGCTTTATACCGTTTCGTTCTAAGAACGAAACGTTTCAACTAACCCAAAATAATCGAGCATTTTTTTAAAATTTTTTTTGCACCACCACTCACAAAAGCCCACATTTTGTTTGTTTCCCCTAAAAAGTTTGATTATCCAATTCAACATGTATTATAAACACCACTCTTTCACAAAATTGTTTTTCTTTTGATCGAAGATTCATTAAAGTCTGCGAGGTCGCTCAAAGCCAATTTCCCCGGAAAAGTACCCTCTTGATTTTAAAATTGTTGATCAATTCCTTTCTTCTTTCGAGTTTCCAGATTATTTATGTATCCCAAAGGGAGCCCCCTGTCTACACCCGAGAGACAGGACGGTGTCTGGACGGTGTCTTAGAATGGACAGGACTACGCGGTAACCTACAGGATACAAAAATCTACATTTTGTCGTATTTTTATTTTTATTTTTTTTTCTTCATCTATTTTCTCTTTCATTTCATTTTAAGGGGAAAAAAAAGAATAAGAAAAAAAGAGAGAAGCCTATATTTAAATTATATTTTTGATACTCTTATTTTTTTTAAAAAGAGAAAGAAAGAAATTAATATTAAAAAGAAAGGCGTTGATGATAATAGTCAGGTCTTGACTGATTGCCATTACAACAAAAAACAACAACAACATTTAGGGGCATTTTGGGTAGAATATGGGATGAACAGAATGGTAGGGCTCGGGGGGGGGGGCGTGTCAAAATAAACAACAGGTTTTTAATTTTTTTATTAATTTATTTCCTCAATACCAGAGGTAGTACATAATCAAAAGAATGCAATTTACATCATGATGACTTTACATCACATTCAAAATAATCAAAATACAATACAAAGTACAATTCTTAATTAACATCCATTGCTAAACAAAACAACTCTTTCATACATTTCCTTATTCGTTTAAAACAATAATAGTAATAACAATAATGATACATTTCATGTTCTTTTTTTTCTTCAAAAACGCTTTATCTATTGAAGTAAACAAAATAAATAAATGCTTGTACACAAAATATTATAATCTGTCAATAAACAAAAATAATTTTAAAAAATACAGTGCTACTTCTGAAAAGAAAAAAATTTCCCCGGAGAGAGAGAGATAGAGATTTAAAAAAGAACCCAAAACAAACAAAAAACAAATAAACAAACAAACAAACAAGTTGGGGGATTCCTTTCCTGATCGAATTAGACGCCTTGAAATAGAGTTATGTATGTGTACGTGTGTGTGTTTGTGTGTGAGGAGGGGAAGGGTGCTATATTGAATTTGTCAAAATGGTAAAGACATTTACTATTATCATCCCCAAAATACATTGAAGAAATCGATATAATAACTAATCTCTTGGGGTGGGGATACTGATCCTATTCGGTGAATACAATTCAGATTTATTTATACAAATTATGGTATCAGCTCAGGGGAGGGTTGGGTTCTTGTATTCATGATACATGCGCCCCCTTCTTTGGGGGGGGGGGGGAGTGCAGGGGATTGAATCAATTTGGGGTGGGCTTGAGACTCCAAAGCCCCTCTATGAAATCGCTACTACTCTATCTTCTTTTTCCCCTTTTCCTTTTACCCCCTCCCCCTTTTTCCGCCATTCGACTGGCCCTTACCCCTTCCCCTATATATCTGTACCGCAATTGAATTTTGGCATGGAGGAGCCGCCTAAGAACATAAATCTTGCTTACAAAAAATATGATTGACCAGAAATATAGGCTAACGTTCGATAACAAAAGTTTAATATG